GTCAGCGGCCGGTCGGTCGGACCTGAGCTGACACCGCGACGCCTGGGCCAGCCGCCGCTGGCAGCGAGGCTGAGCCGGGACTGGCAGCCGCGCCCCTCAGATCGGTCGAGCCATTGTTGACTGCTGTGGTGTGTCTCTGTTCACACTTCATCTTGTGGTTAATCGTCAACACGTGGTGACATAAGCGGACCTCTCGCCCCACCCAGACCCTTGTGCAGCTGCGAGCCGGATGTATGCCCTCTGTCGGTGCTAACTCATTAACATGCATGAGCGGTTCGTGTGTCTAACAGTCGGCACCTTCGCGGAGTCGACGTCAATCAGCAGGTTCCAGCATTCATAGGTCTCTGCTTCCTCAATGAAAGTTTTGGAGTATTTACGCTAGCCACGCCCTGCGCCGGCATCGAATAACGCAACGGCTCAGCGCTGGCTTATGAGATATGTTGTGAATAACGACCACCAAGGGAAATTCAAATGAATGGTGTAAGTGAGCCAACTCAAGGAAGAGCGTGCTTTTCCACCTTTGCTGTAATTTCAGCGTTTGGCTCGACAATGGCATGCAATTTCTCACAGAGGATAATTGCTGAAGCTTTCTAAAGCAGCTAGCAGTGTTTAGGAACTTTCGTGATGCGATCCTTGCGCAAGCTGCTTTCCGATGAAAAACCAAAGATGTTTCTTAAGAATGAAGAACGAGATGAGTAGGAAGGGCGAAGCGGAGGCGTGTCAGACATAGCGCATTAGCATACCTTTTGAACTGTGTTTTATGTCAGCTCATCGGTTTTCGCCGCACTTTTGCAACAAATAGGACCATGTGCTTACATGAGGCTAATGCAAATTCAATTTCCGTTAACATTGAGTAGTGAAGAATGCAGCGGAGGTATTTACCCATTCCATGGTCCAATCACCTGCCTCTGTAAGCAGTGAAATATCCGCGACCATTATGTAAGCGTGAGAGCCGTAAACGCTGTGGGTTATCGCAGCGTCTGCCGCGCGATTACAGTTTTCCTATCACTCGCTACAAAATATGCGTGCCAATGTTCCAGATCAGTCCTAGGTAATGAAGTAAAGCGCAATCTCTTAAGACAATGACCACTACATGCATTTCTCTGCATGTCCATACAGGTACCACGCCTGCACAGCTGCATCTATGCCTACAATACAATATCTCTGCCTGTTTGCCTCGGGGGGGGGGGGGGGGGTAAGCCGAGCCGTCACGTTCTGTATCGGACGCCGCCTTTTCGGCTGGTTCGGAGCCAGTCTGTCTGAAATGTGCCTTCCATCTTTTACCCTTTCTTACCTTGCCGTCCTTCCTTTTGAAGCTATAGCTCCAATCATGAGAAAAATATTCTGCCTAAGCCGACACACGTATTCTCGTAGACAGTCTGGCATTGGCATATAGTCGTAGGTTTTCAAGTTAGCCTTTTGGCATACTTCAACTCATCGGAAGCCTCCGTCATGCTTCCACATTCTTCAACACAATGGTTCTAGGCACTTAATTGCTCAATACATCACGCTGACACGTCCCTATCGTACCAACGAAAGTTATCTGCCAACTGTTTGACCTTCGTCGAGGTGCTAAATGATAACCGCTTCGGTAAACAGGTGATAACACGTCCTAATCATCATGCCAGAGAAATTAAAGTGCCTGCGGTGGGCAAAGCCGTCGCCAGTTGTTCGTAGAGGGACTGCAAAGGGAGCATCCGATTGCATGTAGGCGGGGTGCCGTTCGACACACGATATATTGCCTGGATGTGAATGCTGAATATTTCCAGCGGGCTGTGTTTAACTGCGCTGGCTGCACTGGCCCTTCTTTGCTGGGACTAACTGGCAGCCTGAGATGAGGCCCTCTAGATGTCGCTTTCCTTCCGCAAGGGTGCGTGACAGGCAGGTCGTCCCGCAGGGGTGGTCGTCGCCCGGTGGTCCGCTCGCCTGGTCGGCCCGTCTCGCGCCCGGGACGACCCGACCTGCTACGCTGCCGCAGGCTAGACTCGCCTACACCACGTCCGCGCTGATCACATCTGCGATCCACTTCACGAAGGCGGACACCTCGACGAACACGGTCGGCATCCGGGTAAGGTCGCAATCGACGCCCCAGGAGGTGACGGCGGCCAGCAGCGGCTGGTCGGCGGACTTGTAGTACGTGAGTGCGCCGCCAGAGTCGCCCCAGCACAGGCTGCTGCCGTTTGGCGGCATCGCGCAGCTCATGGTGGCCGGCACGTAGTTGAAGAAGACCAGGTCGCGCAGGCACACGTCGTCAGCCAGCAAGGTCATCGTGATTTTCTGCAGGACTTTGGGGTAGACTGGACCCACGCCTGTCGACCCAGAGGCCCCCCAGCCGACAGCCACCGCCATCTGTCCTGCAGCCGAGGGAAGCATGTCAGCCGGGCAGACCAACAATTTGAGGCTGAGTGATGGCGGCTCATCACAAATTTGGGAAATTTTATACTGAGTCTATGACGTTTTACATGGAGAGGCCGGAATGCTGTTTTAAGGCCCAGACATCAAAGTTCATAAATTCATGGCGAAATCACTCCTGAAGATGGTACTCAAAATCATATGTTTTCATCGTTTTATTTAAAGCATGTCTGGGCCATGACTAGAATGCTCTTAAACAGGCGGTCAGGATGATTTCTGATTACTTTTTAAAAAATGTCTGATGAATGGCGCAGGTAGGTATCTGGCTCAGAATATTTGGTAGATCATCACCTAGTTTTTTGCTATCTCTCGTTATCTTTTTTAAGTCATCTCTCGGGCATTTAACGAATTGCAACTACATTAAGTTCAAGCAAATACTTAGGTCAGTTTGATAGCGCGCAAGGCTGAGACTTTAACTTATGATTGTGCAAAGAAAAATAGCCAAATTTCTGATGGTAAATCAAATAAGGTCAATAATGGGACGCATATTTCTACTTTACTGCGCCCTCGGTGTGAGTTTTTCAATATAAAAACATATCACAAACTATAAAACTCATGAATTATGTGCTTGCTTACGTCCAGGACAATGTCCTTTGAAAGGAGTCTGGGCCGCGAGTAATTGTGTGACCTATACCACAGGAGCGACGCACGATCAATTACAGATCAACTGCACCACAGGAGCGACGTACGATCAATTACAGATCAACTACACCACAGAAGCGACGCACGATCGATTACAGATCAACTGCACCACAGGAGCGACGCACGATCGATTACAGATCAACTGCACCACAGAAGCGACGCACGATCAATTACAGATCAACTACACCACAGAAGCGACGCACGATCGATTACAGATCAACTGCACCACAGAAGCGACGCACGATCGATTACAGATCAACTGCACCACAGAAGCGACGCACGATCGATTACAGATCAACTGCACCACAGAAGCGACGCACGATCGATTACAGATCAACTGCACCACAGGAGCGACGCACGATCGGTTACAGATCAACTGCACCACAGGAGCGACGCACTATCGATTACAGATCAGCTGCACCACAGGAGCGACGCACGATCAGCTACAGATCAGCTGCACCACAGGAGCGACGCACGATTGGTTACAGATCACGGATCACGCGTGATGAGTGCACACCATAGGCCAACGAAATAGGGGACACAGACACCCTAAAGCATGGACTCCAGCTAGTGTTACCTTCCACCCTACTGGAAGTTAAATCCACTCTCTGCGGTATCTCTGTCTCGTATGTCGTTCGCCTGTGGTGTGCGCTCATCACTTGTGATCTATGATCCGCAATCGCTCGTGTGTCGCTCCTGTGGCACAGTTGATCCGCAATCGCTCGTGTGTCGCTCCTGTGGCACAGTCGCACACAATGGTACGGACCCGAGGCTTCTTTCCAATAACGTTGTCCTGGAGATAAAAAGATGCGCGACGTGGAATTTTCCAGCTCGTGCAATATTGTTGTGTCGAAAAGCTGCCGACTGATGGGTCGTTTACCCGCGGCCTCCTGTCTTCAACCTTGACGTTTGCTTTTACAAGGGCAAACATTCTGAATATCACTTCATTCTTGTGTCATCCCATGACGAATCTTCAGTTCTCACATACCATATCTTAATGAGTGGTTTTAAAGATGTAGACATCTTTAATCCCATGCTCTATCGATATTATTAGTTCAGGGTGTGTTATGCTGAATTATAGACACCAGTACGGGAGGAGTTCCTGGTTAAACGATGTTGTAGACTATACATTGACTGCATAGACAGGACTCGACCTTTAAGGCTGTGGTTATGATCACGAGCAACCACGATTAAAAAAGGTTGAGATTTAGCAGGATTAAGCAAACGTATGCTTTAATCCAGAAAACGCTGTGACTGCGCAGACACTCTCACTAAACATGTGACAAAATGCTATATAACCCGAGCTTTCACATCCTTACCCTCACCAACATACACAGTTCAGCCCCAAGGGTCGCACGAGACACAGGTGACTTAGCAGGAAGATTACGCTACGATCACCCATACCGAATATCAGATTAAAATCACTTACCACCATCATCGGGTACAATGAAGAAGAAGGCTTGACTTAACCCGAAAGCGTTCGCGAGGTTAAGGCAATGTTCGTGGCGCCTGGTGATTTCTAATCTAATGCGCGGTATGAGTCAAGGTAGCCCTCCGGCCTAGCCATTTTGATTTTGTGCAGCTCTTAGCGTTGAGCCGTGCATAGGGTGTTAGAACGCGGGAGCTCGTATAATTTATTATTTTGGACATATTTTTAGTGCCCGTGTCTGAACAGATTCGAATCACTTTCTGGCTTAAGGTGCTTTGATGGTCAAATGTCATGTTTGCTTAGGCTTACTCAATCTTTTTCAGTCGTGATCAAAAGCATAGTTTGAGGCGTTTCGTCCTGCCAGTGCAACCAATGTTTGTCCTATTCCATGGTTTAACCAACACCTACAGGTAATTGAAGGTTGCTTACTCAGCGTAAGACTATAATCCAGAAAACCCAGGAGCTGAAGGTCTTTCTTGCTTTTTCAAATGCATTATCACTGCTCGTGACCTTTCCTAAGGTCATTTTGAATCAAAATTAAATGAACTTAATATAAAAAGAAATGCTAAATTTTACTCAAATCCATTATGATATGAAACATGGTGAGTGGGGCGGGGGATCAATACTAGTGTTCAATAATGTAAAGGTCCAGGTCATCGCGGGCTACGCATTCAAAGCTACCCTAAGTGCTTCAGTCGCACTAAAGGTTTTTCACCATGGTTTTCCAAAGGTGGGGTGTAGCCACGCCAAGCTTTGCACGGTTACTGCCAATTTAATATGAGATCTTGTGTTATGGAAGCAGATGTATCTTGTAAGGTGTTAAAGCCATGCCGTAGCTATCAGCGCAGGTCATTTCTAGGAATCGTTAAAGCTGATGCGACACCCGTGTTAGGTAACGCCATACATTTCGGAAATAGTTTCTCGGGCTATACATCAATCATCTTTAGAATTACAAGTTCCATGGGCCTAGGTTCAAGTATGATGGTCTGTAAAGAAATGTAGGTTTACGGGTTGGAACGACGTCAAAACTACCCTGCTTCATTGCTCGAGAGCTTGCTTTACGGCGTAGTTTCTGGTGCTCATTCCCAATTTATTAAATTCAGATACTGCAACAGACATGTTCCGCGGACTTTTGGAAGGTAAAGTAGTTAACTGACCTACAATGACCAAAGTCAACATTTCGTTTCTAAAAACATACAGCTCAGCTTAATACCGGTCGCTTACTTGAAAAGCAAAATAGGAACAATCTCGTAGGCCTTTGGTCACCTTGACATTTTAGATCAAACAAAGCCACTGATCCAAAATAAATATCATTGAAATTTTGCTTAGAACAGGTATCTAGGTTCACGGTGGTTGCAGAAGGAGGCCTGGGGCACTGAAGACAAATTTAGAGTTTGATCTTGTTTGACACTGTTCATCCCAAGGTTATGACCTAGAGACCATACATTTTGACACAAGTGTGTTCACACGCAGGCCAGCCCATCGTGTGAATTTGGCGGCTCGGGCTATTTTAATTTTGAGATCTCAAGATGGGCCAAATTGGCGCCCGCTCGAGCAACATGTGTTCCTTTAAACTGCCACCCGGGCGCGTGTTAACACGCGCCCGGTTGGCCGACTGGACTCCTTCACTCCGATGGGGGGCAATTTACCCCGCTGAGATCTCAGGAACCAAGGAAGCTAAAACACTAAATTCACAGGGTGTGTTGAACTGTACATGAATTAACTTAGGTCAAATTTTGAGGTTGCTAGGTTCTGACCTTTGGGTCAAATAAGGTCATACAAGGTCAAATTTCAGATTGGTCCCCAGAGAGCCCCTGCAGCCCAGATAACTGTTCAAAGCAAAAAGACTTCATGCTCAGTTAAGGTCAGTGACTTCCGTTGACCTTTTGAAGGTCACGGTGACTAAAAACATACAAGACTGCCTCGAGTTTTGCATTTGAAAAAGTGACAAAGACGACGCTGGGAAGTATGTTTCTAAAAATAAAATGATGACCTGGGTCATTTTAGGCCAGTGACGTGTTCTGACCTCAAAGAAGTCCATGAAAGGTGTCGATGCAATTTTTTTCTCAAAAATTTGTGTAATGTAATGTAATTACATGTGTATGCTTATGCTATTATATATGCATATATGTTTTGATATTATTTATACATGATAATGTAGTGTAGTTCAAAGTCAAAATTATTTGTTCATTCAATTGTTGTGTTGCCTAAGAAAGCATCTCAGAGATGTGTGACTTCGTCTAACACTCTGTTGGTGGATCAGATTGAACGATTCCCTAGAAATTGTCTTCGCTGAAACCATGGCCTGACGTTGACCTGCTCTAGTTCAGCAACCTTGCAAGATGCATCTAAATTTGCCATGCCGGACGATTTTTGTTCCATTTTTACAGCTGCGCAAAATTTGGCGCGGCTACGCCGCGCCGTTCGGAAACCATTCCGAAAAAACCTTCGGGGAGGGGTCAATTCCCCCCCCATCCACCCCAGCGCGTGCTAACAGATATTCTATGGTGTACGCATTTCATTCTCAAACACGAAGGTCGATGTTGAAGAGCATGCAAGGTTAAGGTCATGGCATATTGTAGAATAACTTCCTATGACCGTGCACTCACCCTTGAAAGTAACTGGCGTTACGCTTTGTTTAGTAATAGTTTTAACGTCCTAGCGGACAAGGCACAAAATGCAAGACTAATGTGCAGCCGCGCAAACGTGCAAAGCTACCTACAGAGAGCGAATACTTAGTTTGATCTCTGATTGAATTTGACCGGTCATTCGTTAGATATGCTGTAAAATGAATTAGCTGAAAGTTGTAGGCCATGAGCGGGTCACAGCCTCGATTTCAAACTGCGTTATCACATCAGGTGTAGAATCAGTGAGATAATCATACCAAGTACCAGGTTCGGCGCCACGTGTTTTAAGTTGGGGTACAGGATTTTCCAGGCGGCTTCCTGGACAAAATGAGGCCTTCGTGCAGGGGGCCTTCTGGGCAGTGTCATATTCGAACGGAGGGCAACCGGGAGCATGTGCCGCCGTATCAACGGTTGCAGGTGTCATACCCGAGAAAATAAGTATAGACAGTTACAAATTTCAAGTGAGAGCCCTCTAATTATCCAGCAAAGGTTCTTGTTGATCTAAAAATCTCCTTTTCCAGGACAGGGCCTCCCGATACATGGAGGGATCTCCTTATACAAAGCATGATGCTTACAATTCACGAGGGAACACTCCGAGTATGGCAAAGGGGCCTTGCTGTCCCAAAATAGGGCATCCTGATCCGGAAACGCGGCGATCTAATGCATGAAAGAAACCTTCTGTTCCAGAAATTAAACCTGAATATATAGGGCGCCTCTTTACCAAGAACAGGGACTGCTAGTTTGTCATGGGGACCCAAGCCAGCAAATAGAACTCCTGAACACAACGCTAGGCCCCACGATCTGCAGCATTGGCTTCCTCATTCATAAATATGACCTCAGCATCCAGAAAATAGGTGTCTTGATGATGCAAAAGGATTTCTGAGCCCACTTTGTAACTGTAAAGCTACGTTATGGGTGTCTCCCAGATCTGAACCACGTCAATCTACGAGTAGCCACAATGCGCTTGGCTTGGTAAAAAGCGGCACTCAATCATTTCTTTTTGGAGGGGAGGAGGAACACAATTTTGCTCCCTTCTGCCTTCCGGCCGGGGGAGGGCAACTGTCTTGTCTGCCCCCTCCCCTCCCCCTCCTGCTGTGCTGCCCCTGCCAGCTACTACATGCTGTGGAAGGCTTGAAGACCGGAGAAACTGACGAGGGCTTAAAGCCACTTCATTGATACACACAGCCGCCTCCGACGGTATTCCACACCAACTGTGCTAAAACAAACTAAAAAGTCTGGACCATACCCTGGCACGTGCCTGCAGTTTCCTACGCAGACTATTGTGCAGCATCTCTTTAACTCCACCTGACAGGTCAACCGTGGCCAGGTTAAGGCACGTGGACTGTGGGCATACTTATAGGGGAAACCACGCAGAGACGTTTTGGCTGTTTCTTAGTAGGCTTTCTTGTGTCCACAGAGCTAAGCTGATGCAATTAAAAGAAACTTGGAATTTTTATTCAGGGGATAGTGTTAGATGACCTTGGTTTATTGCATGACATTACATCGTTTGATTTTGATGCCCTCAAACGTATTATTTGATGTGCGTAATACCCTGGTGTTGGTCCATTACGGCGGGCCCACTAGTGATACCCACATGGACGGTCTTGAGCGCTTGACGTGACCCTAATGTTGACGAATAACATTACCATTGCTTTCATGCTGGTTATTGCAGTCATTTTAGTTCATTGCTCACTTGCTCACCCAGCAAGAGACCGATTTGGTGGGTTCAGCCTTTACCTCATTGTCAGCATGTCCTCCTTACCATCGAAGTCTTCCGCGGGATCCGGTAGAGCCAGAGCTTTCACCCATTGTGTATAGATGGCGGGCTGGTCGATTTTGAGAAGCGCGATGTCGTTCACGTCGTACTGAAGGCTACTGCGATGCGTGTTGAACTGGTCGGAGGGCAGGACAATCTGTGCCACACCTCGCCGCTGTTCTGAGCCCTCCTCCACCGTGACGTCATATTCGCCTAGTATCACCTGCGGACAACATGCAGATACGCACACAGTGCATCACGCTGATTTACTAAACAAAAAAAAGAAAAACTGCTCGTGAAAGTTGTAATTCCCCACACATGCTTTACTGCGTGACTGCACTGATTGCGGTGCAGCGCAGCTTAAAGGGAGTGTTGCGTACTTAAAAATACCGAAGCAAGCATCAGATATGATGAAATAAGTTTACCTTTTGGTATGCTTTTATGCTTATATTCCATATTTGTGTGAGGTTTTGAGCTCAAATGTTCATCGTAAAAATCTTTCGGTGCAGTTCACAGCCCGGTCCTTTTTAAGACCTAAACCCCACAAGTGTCTAAGCAACACGCCCACGAAGATGTGCATGCAGGCTTTTTCGTGCAGACTACTTCAAGTTCGCCAAGTCATTCGTAACGCAGCAATAACGTTATTCAAATCCGTCCATTCCATTGAACATGTGACGATCAAGATAAACAAACAAAATTGTCGGGTCGTTCATATCTGGCTTTTGTGAGCACGATTTCCAGACATAACGGCCGCCAGTTGGCTCTCAATCAATGTTATGCCAGTTACAATGACGTAAGCAATGACGCATTGAGGAGCATGTTCACTAGACAGAAATTGTGTGGTCTAGAACACTTTTTCCCACTACAGTATGACTTAAACCCCTTTAACCTCGTAATCCAATGGTTTTAAAAACCTGCTTCTTCATATGTGATGCTTGCTTTAATATGCTCAAATTCGAAACTTTCTCTTAAGTGGGAAAGCTGCTCCAGACAACACAATTCCCCTGTTTTTTAGTTATGCTCCTCAATATGCTGTTGCTTGATTACGTCACCGTAACTTGCACAACATTGATTGAGGGCCGACTGATCGCCGTAAATGTCTTACAATCGTGCTCACGAACGCCAAATATGAACGAATGGAAAATCTTTTTTTGGTCTTGATTGCCACATGGTCGATGGAATTGCGGGATTTGAATGGCGTTATTGATGCGTTATGAATGGCTTGGTGATCTTGGAGAAGTCTACATGAAATAGTCCGTACATCTTCACGAACATGTAGTTCAAAAATTAGAGAGGCTAGGTCTTAAAGATGGCATGACTGTGAACTGCACCGAATGATATTCAACATTGTTATTTTGATTGAGCATCCCATACAAATGTGCAACTCTCCCCGTAAACGTATTCACACAAAAATAACCATAACGTCAGAGTAATCGCATTCTGGCGTCGTCAGGGCAGTACACCGCCCGCCTCTCACCCTGACAAGAAGGGCGGGCACCGCAGTGAATCAAACCGCGCACCTCTGGTGTCCCAGACGTACAGTGCTAAACACAGGCGCGTTAACCACGGCGCATCGGCATCCTTTTTAAGACTCTGGCATTGAGTCGAGGTTTTGGGACGCAAATAAGAGAGTGGTGGATATCAGAGCGCGGAACGTCAAGGAAACGGCCGTTTCGAGACGGACCATTTCTTATCACCGGTGTGTTTCGTGTTTTGTCCTTCTTACTCAGTACTCACAACTTTGATATAAATAGTTACAGTGATATGTACTTGTGACGCTTGTGCTGAAAAGCCTCTTCTGTGAAGATCATAAGAGAACATGATTATGGTGATATCAATATGTAATTATGATGGTGATACTGATATATAGTGATGATATTAATAAAAGTTCCAGCATGGGAGGATTTCATAAACATTATTTCTTAAGCCGACATTTGAATTTTGACGGCACGAATCACCCCACTTTGATGTATGAGCTGTGGGCAGCCTATATTATGAAAACTATAGATAGGAGAAGTGCCGCAGCGCTCGCCGCCCAGAGGCCGGACCCGCGCGAGCACTCCTCTCACCGCGGAGTACGCCAGCAGCGCTCGCCGCACGGAGGCCGGGCCTGCGCGAGCACGCCTCTTCCCGCAGGATAAGCTGGCGCCGATGTTTGAGGCGAACGTGGCCGACGAGCAGAAACCAGCGTCATGCAGAGGGCCGCGAGGTGATAATTGTCGCGCCAGCCGCAGATCGAACATGACCCGGACAATAAACAAACACGGCCCGAGCACGGCCGGTCGCTGTCCGAGGCTAATCAGCCGTCTGGACACAGTCAGCCGTGTGACGTTGGCCCGGCGAGCCAGGCGGCCACGGATGGAGTCCAGGGGGATGTTGAGGTCCGAACTGCTGCGGAACCGAGTACAGGTTCAGAAACTGGTCCGTAGCAAAGGTTTGTTCGGACAGGTGATCACGGGTTGAGAGCGTCAACAAAAATTGGCGAGGAGAAGCTGCCAGAAGGAGCATGCTTCCATGACGAAATGTTGAAATCAGTTCAACTTACACAGCAAGCTGGCGCGGCCACTGCCACGCATGTCCGTCCATGTGGGGGATTGTCATTAGATGGGCCCTAGATGCTGCACTGCGAGACCTGAGGTCAGGTCACATTGCCACTCTGCCCATTGATAGTCTCATAGTAAGTGTTTTGTAAATGATAGCAGATGCATCTTGAAATCGCGTACATCTGCTTACCAAGCTCACGGGGTGTGTGGTGATGTGTGGTGACATCGCACAGTACTTGGACAAATGGTCTGAGGTGGAGCCTCTCCCCGAAGGTTCTGACATATGTCTGCTCTCCAGAACGCGATGGTGAGAGGGCTTTTGTCCTCGACCTCGACCTCGACCTCGATCTGGTGTCGATCGGCACTTCTGTTTAGATTCTAGACATCGATGGAGATATTTTATCACTCATCTGGCAGCCTACAGCATCCATTTGTACCAATGGACAAGCTGTGTCTATCCCCCTTCTCACTGATGCGGCCTTAGGTGACTCTGGACGGTGCGAGGTTGAGGGCGATGCTCTCACCTGGTAAGCCGAGGGGTTCGGCTCTGCCGACAGGCAGTGAGCGGCGGTGAGCAGCCACAAATCCGACACAAGCACGGCGCCGCACACGTAGACGGTGTTGCGTTTCAGCTGCGCCTGCCAGGGAAACTCGCCCTTCTTCGCCACCTCTCCGTCGATGATGCTCCAGCCGCCGTCACCAGCGGTGACCTCAGGTGGCGGGAGCACGCCACACAGCGCCGCTATATGGGCAGAGGGCAGCGGTCAATTGTTGTCGCCAAGATATCATCGGCTAGGCGCCTTTCCTTGCTTTTTACGACGGCACATGTTTTCTTCCTGCTGGTGTGGAGGACATCAATGATATGGCATGGTTAAAAAGTGAACACTCTGAGGCGTTTGAGGCGTCAGGAGGGAGCTGTGCTCGTGCAAAAGGACGCGCCACTCAAAACACAAGTATATGTAGGAGCTGTACACAACATATACAATTGTTTTTTCATCGCACCCGGCCAGCCCGACATATTTAGTTCCAGGACAGTCACTGACCGGACACGAGGACGAGGATCACTGGCAGTCGCATGGCTGGGCTCTTGGTGCTCTGCCGGCGCCACTGGAGCCGCCGCCGACCCAACAGACCTGGCAACAATGTGCCGGGGGGCAGGGTGGCCTCGACCATCATCACATGCTATCGGCAGCTGCCGCCGGCTTCTCAGGGGCACTGTTGACTCAGCTATCTGCCGGCTCTGCGGGCGGCGGCGCCGGGTCCTTCTCCGTCCCTGATGCAACCCACGGGCCTGAGAATGCCGGCCCCGACCGGATGCCGCCGCGCTGCGCCGCACCGGGGACCGGTGCCGCCGCCCGGCCGAGTCGGAGCGTGCCATCGCCGACGTCCGCCACAGCAGTGTCCCCCGGCAGTGTCCTTGTGTTCTCTGGCGGTGGTGCCCGAGCTGAGCCGCGTGGGAGACGACAGCTGGCTCGGTGCAGAGGTGGGAGCCTCGAGCTGGCTGAGCGTGAGGCGGGCGTCGCCCGATAGCCCGTGCGAACGGCAGTGGTGAGGCCAATAATACCAACGGATGTTGGTCAACACGGGGACGGAAATGGCGCAGGTCCGATGGCGGCGTACCCAGGAGGAATGGGGCGGGGCAGGTTCTTAGCCCACGTCCCATGACCTCCTTCGAGGTCGCGGAGGCCCCATAGGGCCTGAAGGTCCCAGCACTTTTGACCCTTTAAGACATCAGTAGGGTTTCTAGAGCGTGCAGAGCCTGAAAAGTTCGTTCCGAAAGCATGGCCCTTATAGCAACAAAGGGGTTTTTGCTAAAAGGTCCCCTATGCTTACCTGTTATGCTGTACGTGTGGACCTAGTTACGTTGACCTACTCTCTTGTGTGACCTAGTTATGTTAGAATGCTCCTAGATGTAACCTAGTGATGTTGAACTACTCCTAGGTGTGGCCTAGTTATATTGACCTACTCCTAGGTGTGGCCTAGTTGGCTGAAAGCCGAGCGCCAATAAGTTCTTTTCAGGATTCATCAACACCTGGCGATGGCCGGAGCTGGGTGGATCCCAACACACCAGAAGAGGACGATGGTCCAAATACTTACTCCATCCCGAATACCGTGGCATGCTACCAACCAGATAAGAGGAAGCTCTGCAAAATATGTATTTACGATCCCTCCACGGCTCAGGGAAAGGCTGACGTGCGGTGCGTGGGTGGCGGCGGTCCACCTAACCGGCAGTAGGCGCGGCCAGACACGCCGGCAGAGCCGGGGCCAGACACGCCGGCAGAGCCGGGGCCAGACACGCAGGCAGAGCCGGGGCCAGACACGCCCGCGGAGCCGGGCCAGACACGCCCGCAGAGCCGGGGCCAGACACGCCCGCGGAGCCGGGCCAGACACGCCGGCAGAGCCGGGGCCAGACAAGCCCGCAGAGCCGGGGCCAGACACGCCGGCAGAGCCGGGGCCACACACGCCCGCGGAGCCGTTACAGCAGGCTCGGTCTGCTCGATATCCCGGCGCAGCGCTGCAGTCTGCTCACCTGCTGTTGAGGGCTAGCAACCTCGAGCTTCAGCTCCGCTACCGCACTCTCCAGGTCGGCAGCGCGTTCAGCACGTCTTAGCAGCCCTCCAGCGTTCGCGCGTGCTGAGCTGCGCCACGGGTGTCAGCCTCCAGCGTCTCCAGCCCCGCCGGCCTCTCTCCACGAGTCTACACACAAGGTGGAGGACGTCATCTAGCTGCACCTGGAAGGGATGACGTGTTATAGCGACCTGGGGGACCTGCAGCAGATCAGTGACGGAGGTCTCATCCATTGCCCAGCGCAGGTAATTTGCTCTGTGGCCGCGCAGAAGGCCACTGCACTTGCCGGTGATCCTGAAGTAAAATGCACGGGGTAAGTCGGAATAAGTATTCGAGTAAAAGCCAGAACATAAACGCAAGCAGGTGACATGCGTAATCATCATTGACTGATCAGACAGAAAGTGGTAAAAAAGCTGTGGCGCTGGTGCTTATTGGCTTCATTAACTGCAGTATTTATTAACTTGGGTATGATATCATGGGCCCCGGTAGTACCGGCCCGGAAGTGGCTGCACCTGCGGACGGTGCACCCGGCTGCAATTGGCTGACAAAAATCCAATGCTACTGACGTCTCGTATGCCGACTCCGAGAACTGGCTGTGACAGCCCCGCCAGCCAGAGCCCAGCGAGCCCGCCGGTGCTAAGTGTCAAGGACTGGCTGTGGCAGCCCATGGTAGCCCAGCCCAGGACTGGCAGCTGGACGCCCATGGTCCCAACCGGGGTTTTATCTCCCTCAGTTTATTGGCAGCGTGCACACCCCAATTCGCTTGCCGCTACTTCAGCATAAAGGTAGATACCACTGCATATAGGTCGTTAGCGGGGACCGTCATCGTAAGGGTGCCAGATGCGTGTGTGGCGCGCCTTGCTGCGGCATCAGCTACTTCATTACCCGATATGCCAACGTGGCTTGGTATCCAGCAGAATACCACCTGCTTCCCGGATCGCGACAGTGTAGTAAGAAGAATTAAAATGTGCTGAACGATGAAATGTGATGAATCTAAATCTTGCAGTGCCATCAGGCTACAAGAGAGTCTGATAAAACTAAGTGTTGGTCGTCACTGTCAACTCCTACGAAATGGAGTGCTTTAAGAACGGCTATAAGCTCGGATGTGAAGACCGATGCGTCACCAGGCAAAGCAAAAGACCGTGTAACAGGACCTTGGACAAAAGCACATCCAACACCGGCATCCGCTTTCGAACCGTTCGTGTAGGTCTTCTTGTGATCCGGGTAGGACGCAATCAACTCCAAAGACCTCAGCCGAAACTCATCCGGAGATACCTGCCTCTTCTCGAAAAGGGAAAGTGAGACATCTACCGCTGGTAGGTAGAGATTCCAAGGAGGGGTCTCGGGAATTTCCCAGCGACTCACATGCCGTGTGCGAATGCCACACTCCTGCAAAAGTATGAAAGTCCTCACACAGAAAGGTGTGGCAGCCCCGCCAGCCCGAGCCCGGCGAGCCCGCCAGTGCTAAGTGTCAAGGACTGGCTGTGGCAGCCCCGCCAGCCCGAGCCCGGCGAGCCCGCCAGTGCTAAGTGTCAAGGACTGGCTGTGGCAGCCCCGCCAGCCCGAGCCCGGCGAGCCCGCCAGTGCTAAGTGTCAAGGACTGGCTGTGGCAGGCCCGCCAGACTGAGCCCGGCGAGCCCGCCAGTGCTAAGTGTCAAGGACTGGCTGTGGCAGGCCCGCCAGACTGAGCCCGGCGAGCCCGCCAGTGCTAAGTGTCAAGGACTGGCTGTGGCAGCTCCACCACCCCGAGCCCGGCGAGCCCGCCGGTGCTAAAGGTCGGTGGCGGACCCGGCTGCTCTCTGGAAGGAATAGCGTGCGCACTGTCGCACATGCTCCGATCATTGCGAACTCGAGTCACAGTCATCCGACACCCCTCCCCTGAGCAGTGCGCCGTGCACCTCGCGGACTTCCGGTGATCATGTGACCGGTGAATGGTGTCGCCCAAATTGGTAATGTGAATCGTTTTTCTTGTAGGTCAGGGCATTGAGCTATTGTATTACACGCATTCCTTACCCCACTGCCTATTCCCTTGGCCGAGTCACTCAGACCGTGGCGAAATGGTCAGGCCACCAGTACGTGCGTTTGTTCGACCAACCCCTTCGAGGGTGCCAAACGTCGTGTTCTCAGGATCGATCACAGAGATGGAGAGCGGCGGCCGATTCCCCAGGTCGGCGGGCGGGGTGCTGTTGTCTCCCGGCCGTCCGCCCGCCAGGCCGCAGCCGACGGGCAGGCCGGCCTGATCCGTGCCTTTGCCGGTGTGCCGTGCCTGGCCGGACGCGTGTGTTTACTCTACGTCCTGACCGGCCACCTGCGTTTGACTCGTACCGTTTGTTTTGGGCTTTTCCCATTATCCCACGACCTTTCTCCATCGCGGTGTGCGTATAAGCTGACCGTAAACATGCCGCTCACACCCTCTTCTTCTCCGACATTCGGTGGTCAGACGTCGTCTCCGTTCAACAACAGAGACGCCTTCCTCAGCGTCAGCGTGACTCGGGGAGTAAGCCCCGAGCAATGGGGCACCGACACCGATGAGTGGCAAAGAGCATCGTCCATTCATCCCACCTGTCTCGCTGTTTTGATGAAAAGCTCCCTTGTAAGTGAAATTTTCAGTCCTGTCTCTCCTCTCTAAATGGCGTGGTTACCGTTGACCCCGACGCGCCGACCCAACGGTCCGCTTCCACCGGGCTACGCTGCCTCATGCTCCGGCCGACATCAGCGGCGCCCGACCATCCCGCGCGCGCCGCTTCCGGCCTCTACCTCGCTTCACTTCCCAGCGGCTGCATGAACTGTAACGCATAACCAAACACGGCCCGAGGCGGCCCGGGGCGCAGGATGGCCCCGTGACGTCACTCACGTCACAAGCCGGCACAGCCAATCACCTTTAAAGGGAGTGTTTCACGTTTGCATGGGGTTTTGAACTGAAATAGACATTTTGAAGATCATCTGATACAGTTCACAGCCCTGCCCTTCTTAAGACCCAAGCCTCTTTACTTTCTCAGCTACACGCCCGCGAGGATGTACGGACTATTTCGTGCAGGCTACTTCAAAGTCACCAAGTCATTCATGACGCAATAATAACGTCATTCAAATCCTGCCATTCGTTGGCAACGCGGCGATCAAGACCAATAGAGATTTGATTGACAAGGCGTTCATATCTGGTGTTCGTGAGCACGACTGCCAGATATACCACCTCGGCCACTGGTGTGCGCCATTGAACAGAGCAGATGAACTCCAAAAGGACTTAAGGGAACATGTGGTCGCAAATTTGAAACCAAATACTCACGGATGCACTTTTTGCGTGCTAATCTGTAAATTAAATTGCTTCGAAATGGGATGATTGTGGATCTGGCCACAGCTTTATTTTCAGCCGGCAGAATCCATGGCTTGTAATATCATATGTTTCCTGTGAAGTGATCAAGGTATTGCAAAAAAATGCCACTGAGAACTGCAACACGTTGTGCATTTGCCACGGCCCAATCTCTCAATTTTGGCTGCAGCTTGCTCCTCAGCCGACTACTGCGCTCACGAGGATCTTAAATTATTA